TATGTATGTATGTATGTATGTATGTATGTATGTATATATATATATATATATGTATATGTATGTATGTATATGTATGTATGTATATGTAAAAAATTTTCCGGAATTTTCAGGAACGTCCACTTTCATCTCTGATTCAACCACCAACACTCAAATTTAGATTTAATTGAAAAGAACAACCCAAAAATACATTTGTAACAAATAAAATGTTAGGGCTGAACGATGAATAGAAATTGTAATAATAATTTGGATTGTGACTCTCCAATCTTCAAAACGTTCAAGTCGCAGAAAAATGATTACGGTGCAGAACGGCGCAGTGCGTTTACAAATTAACAACTTTGAGAAAGCACCCTGAAGGCACCATGTTGCTTGCATAGCAAATGTAAAGCAGGTGTGATTCTCCCGTCCCTAAGCGTGCTTTGAGCTCTTTAATGGCACTCCAATTGAAGTTTACTGTCAAGCTCAACATACAACAAAAAGATTTATGAGAAATTGTCATCGACTTTGGGAATGATATTCCTTCAATTTATACTTGTTTGAACTTGGCCCGCTGAAAATGATTCCAGACAAAGAATTAGTTTATTGAGATACACAATGTGAATTTAAGACATAAAAACACTTGATTCTATAAAAAAAATATTCAAATCATTCACATTAACAGTCATTATATTGTCATATTTTTATTGTTCAATAAAAGCCTTACTTCAAGACCCTGGAATTAACCTGCAAATAATTACTACTCAAAAGTAGAAATTTACACCTTTAAATCAAGTCATTGATGAGCAAAACTGCTGGCCGAAAAAAAACGTTTTGAGTCTTGCTCACACGAATGTCAGCTTTGTGTTTATACATTTAACTCGACATCTTCCTTTGCTTTCGGGTTAACCCAATTCAGAGGTTGCCACATCGAACATCCTCTCCCATCTTTCCGTGTCCTCTGCATCGTCTGCTCTCCTGGGAGCTATCCACAAGTCTCCCCTCTCCACATCCATAAATGTCCTCTTTCGTCCTCCCTTTTGAGCTACCTCGCAACTGTGTCACTCTGGGGAGCATGCGTTTTTTTGGCCCAAGAAAATAGAATAAAGTGTAATTGCACATCCACTACAGCAGTTGGCAGTGGCACTCTCATTATCAGAGAGTGCGCAGGGAATATTAGCTCATGGTGTAGGGTTTTTTTTTCCTTTTTTTTTTTTTGCACCAAGCAGGTGATATGAAGTGCAGTAAACAAACTCTCAAGAGACAACATGAAAAGAAAGGTGGAGAGAGGCAAAGATAATGAGACAAAAGAAAGTCACCCGAAAGCCAAGACAAGGCAATATGATGAAGCGTATGTGAGGCTTGGCTTCACTGTGACTACAGTGGGAGACAGACGAGGACAGACCGGTGTGTTTACTGTGTCGAAAAATGCTGGCAGCGGACAGCATGAAGCCAAAGAACGCAAGGCGCCACTTAAAGACATTACACCTCAATCACGCTGATAAGCCGCTGGAAAAGTTGTGCACTCCAAAACGTACAAATTGTTGCCATTAGTCCTGACTTCCTCGTTTTTTTTTTTTTTTTTTTTTTTAACAGAGAGAAAAAAATCGATACAAATTGGCTGCATATTCTCTTGTGTGTTTACATCAGAGAAGCGTAATGGGGTTTCTATCCAAATGTTTCAAAATTTCAACGCAAATTTAGTACAAATGCGCAAAACGAACATCCAACATATGCCTGTTTCCATTTGTTATTATTTTGCGAATATTCAGAGGAGGGGCGACTCCGCCGTCAGATGATGTCATGTGAGTCTGTCTCTCTCTCTGCCACAAGACACCCGGCCGACTATCAACAAAATGACAAGGAGACGGCAAAGAAGATTGTTTATGTTAAGAATACTCTCAGAGTTCAGGAGACCACAGCGGCCTTCTCAATCTGTATAGGAATGCAGGCCTGTCTTTTTATGACTACAATATGTACGTATGATGTAATATCCGGTCAAAATGTGCCACGCGGTATCATCGTTCATTCACAAACCTCCTTCAATCGCCAATATTAGCATTTTCCTTTTATCGATATGCTGAAAAACTCACCCTCGCCAAGCCTAAAAAAAAATTTTTCTGAATTTTTGCTCACCCCCTCTTTTTGTTTTGTTAACCCACCTACTTAGGCACCTTCATAAAATCTACACACTCTGGTTGGACCGACCCTGAAATCAGGCCATTCCCCGTGAAATGTAGCGCACCTTCTCGAACAGACTTAAGCATCTTTTCTCTTCCGCACACACGGATACTGTAGTAAGCCTAGTGTTTTCGAGGGGGCCATATCATTTTGCACCTTTTGATTTAATTAACAGCTTCTGTGCTTTGCTGGTGGCAGCCGTGTGACAGAGCGGCTTTGGACTGGCAGCTTGGAGTTTATCCGAATGCGCCACTCGCATTCGGATAAACTCATTCTAATGGTGGTGATGGTGAATTAGATTTTGGATCACTTGGGTTTATTTGATCCATGTCGCTCATGAAGTCCATACAAGTGATATGCCAGTCACTGGAGAGTGTCTCCCTGGCCTGGGAATGCCTCGGGACACCCCCCCTCAAAAGAGTTGGATGAAGTGACTGGTGAGTGGGAAGTCTCGGCTTCCCTGCTAAAGCTGCTGCCCCCACAGTCTGACTCCAGATCAGCTGTAAAACATGGATGGGTGGATTATTAAATACAGATTGCAAATGCAATTGCTCCTAATGTAGCCAGTTAATGACCCGAACACGTCACTGCCAAGGATCAGTATAACTTCCTGATCCAGTACACCAGTTAATTTCACAGTTTTTAAAATGTGACGTATTTTGAAAATGTTGTCCTTTTGGAATTCACGTGTCTCATGAGAACTCCCCACCCTCAGACTAATCATCATCTAATCACGTCTCTTTGGCGATTGCGCATGAATTTACAGATTACGCATAGAGAGTCCATCAGAAGTATAGGAGGGTGATATAAGCATGCGAGCCAGGCATGCAAAAACAAAAAAAAAAAAATCGACTTGATTCATCTAGTGGCTACAACACTGCACATCACCATTCTGAAAAATATGAAAAAAAAATCCATTACCAGTGTGGCGGAATTGTGAAAGGGTTCGCTCGCAGACAAATTGCCAGACAAGAAGATGCTCTTGTTTATTTTCAGGCTTGATGGGTGTGTCTAGTCCAGGGAAACCAAGACAATGAAAGTCTTTGTACAACAATGAGATTTAGTTTAGCTACAGTTGATGGAGAAACCCCATTTCCAGATCTGTGATGGAGTGTCTCCCCAAGCAGCGGGGTGCGGCCCCTCTTCTACCATTTTGTTCTTCTTGGGACGCGTTACAGGCTGATTTACAAGAAAATGACAACCTAGCAAAAGCAACCAACTTTGCATAGCAACACTGACAGATAGCAGCATAAAGTTTGACGCACAACTTTGCATCGCAACACTTTCAGAGTTAACAGTTACTTATTAGATACAAGTTAACACTGTTAAATGTTAAATTTCCACTCCAGGTGGAGAGGGATTCCAGAGAGCCAGCTCTTTGTATACAAGCGATTAAAACGTTCCTTTCCCCTAATATGTCCCTTTTGAAATAGCCTCTCCTCTTGTCCCCATCGACAGGCTTATTGGCGTTCCTGTGCTGCCCTTCTCGGTCAGGTGCTGGAGACGGCGTTCAAGGACCAGTTGTCCGTGGAGTTGCTCAGCACACCAGAAGTGCCAGGTAGCTGCTGCGTTATGCTTTCAGTGTTCAGAGTTGATCTGGCCTGGATTTGTCCTGCAGCTTGTTTCACTCCTAAATTCCCTTCAGTGACTTCAGGGGCTTTTCTTTGTGACTTGGTCCTGGACCCTCAGCTGGACTCTTGGACTCCCTCTGAGGTTTCGCTCCTTTGGTTTATCAGCTGGTGCCTTTCAGAGCTCACAGTGGCTCACATGCTCGTGTTTGTGCTCCAGGAATCGATGCGCTCTCTGACGAGAGGAGCTCAGCAGCTCATCCTCCAGGATTTGCCCTGGGAGCCTCTGGAGGTGGACCCCTCGGTGGCACTAGAAGTGTTCTCGCACAGCAGGTAGATGGCTACCGCCCTGTCTCCACCCCTAAACCCCCGTCCCCTGTCTTCTTCTCTCTTTTGATGTCAAACATTCAATTTGAAGAGTAGTTTCTCTGTGTCAGGTGTCAACAGGAAGCGGTGGAGCAGAGGGCCGCCCAGAATCCCAAAGTGATGCTTTACAGGTGACAATGCATGCACTCCACAGCACGGCTATGTACAGAATTCTCTTTGTAAAGCTTTAGATTAAGCTGCATCTACCAACACTGCACAATTTAGGAACATTCAAGTTGGGAACAGTGGACATCTACTGTACGGACAGACAGCCGGAATAGCTAAAACTTTGTTTGCAATATTGAGTGCAAGACCTACTCCATCAAATACATGCCGCGCCATCCCCACAGCATCAGTTTCGAAACAAACACCTTCGTGTCTGCTCGAGCAGTTGATTACGTTTCCTGCGTTGTGTTTTCATGTCATAGAATTTTACAAATCCAATTCCAATGAGGTTGGGACGTTGTGGTAATCATAATCAAAAGCAGAGTACTATGATTTGCAAATCGTGTTCAATCCATATTTAATTGAATACTGACTGTATACTACAGAGACAAGGTATTTAATGTTCAAATTGATCAACTTTATTTCTTATTTTTAAAGCAAATAATCATGAATAGAATTTTATGGCTGCAACACATTCTCCAAAAGCTGGAACAGGGTCATATTTACCTCTGTGTTACATCAACATTTTTTTAACAACATTCAATAAAATTTGAGGAACTGAGGACACTAATTGTTGAAGCTTTGGGGGGGGGGGGGGTTTCCTTCCCATTCTTGCTTGATGTACAGCTTCGGCTGGCTGTTCAACAGCCCAGCGTCTTTGTTGTCGGATTTTACGCTTCAGAATGTGCCACACATATTCAATGGGAGACAGGCCAGTCTAGTACCCGTCATTTTTTACTAAGAAGCCACGGTGTTGTAACATGTGCGGAATGTGGTTTGGCATTGTCTTGCTGAAATAAGCAGTGGCATCCATGACAAAGACGTTGTTGCTTGGATGGCAGCGTATGTTTCTCCAAAACCTGTATGCATCTTTCAGCATTAATGGTGCCTTCACAGATGTGTAAGTTAGCCATGCCATCGACACTAACACAGCCCCATACCATCACAGATGCTGGCTTTTGAAATTTGCGTCTATAACTATCCGAATGATTCTTTTCCTCTTTGGCCCGGGGGGACACCACGTCCACAATTTGCCCCTCGCCCCCAAAATTCGAAATGTGGACTGGACAGACCACACAACACTTTTCCTTGTTGCATCAGTCTCTCTTCAATGACTGTGGATCCACAACGGCCAGCGGCGCTTCTTGGTGTTGTTGATAAATGGCTTTTACTTTGCATGGTCAAGTTTTAAGTTGTACTTACGGATGCAGCACCAAACTGTATTTACTGTTATGGGGGTTGGGGGGTATTCTTGAGCCCTTGTGCTGATTTCCTTTACACATTGATGTCCTTTTTTAATTTTTTCAATGCAGTGCCGCATGAGGGATCGAAAGTCACGGGCATTCAATGTTTTGGTTTTCGGCCTTGCCGCTTACAAGTTATTTATCTAGATTCTCTGAACGTTTTGATGATATTAGAGGACCGTAGATGATGAAATCCCTCAATTCCTCGCAATTGGATGTTGAGGAACATTGTTCTTAAACCAAGGGTGTCAAACTCATTTTTGTCACGGGCCACTTTGGAGTTGCGTCTTCCCTCGGAGGGCCATTACGACAGTGAAACCGAATAAAATGACATGGCGGGCCGGATCTGGCCCCAGGGCCTTGAGTTTGACATCTGTGCCTTAAACCGTTGGACTATTTTCTCACGCTGTTGCTCATAAAGAGGTGAACCTCGCCCCATGGTTGCTTTTTCAATGAAAATCTCCTTTGATACCCAACCGTGGCACCTGTTCCCGGTGAGCCTGTTCACCTGTGGGATGTTCCAAACAGGTATTTGAAAAACATACTTCAACTTTCGCCATCTCTTTGGCCACTTTTCCCAGCTTTTTGTCAATGTGTTGCAGCCACAAAATTCGAAGCTCATGATTATTTGCTAAAAGCAAGAAGGTTTATCAGTTTGATCATTGAATGTCTTGTCTTTGTAATGTATTCAACTAAAAATAGGTTGAACAGGATTTGCAAATTATTTTTATATTTAACACAGCGACCGAACTTCATTGGAATTGGCTTGGAACACCACAGGCCCAAGTTCCCGATTCCTTTCCACTAAATGCCTATGTCCACGTTTGCAAGCACTTTTGAAGTGACTCATCTGGTAGGATTTTGTTTACATTCACTCAAGCACAGCACATAAGTCAAAAACTGGACGACGCCAACATAAAAGCAAATTCAAGTAAATCAAATCATGAACACGATGAATGTTCCACGGCCAGGGCTCACTCTTCCCACTTCTTGGATTTAAATGAGAGGAACCTTCGTATTACTTCACTGGCTGCCATCATAAATTCTTTTCTGATTTAAGAATCAACACACCTCTATTGTGACATATGGAGACCAACGATTCTCTTTGCTTTAACTGTCTAGATTGCCAGTCTTTATTTTTGGAGTGGTTTTTGTGACTTTTGGGGGCAGAAGACCCAGACGCAGGTCTGTACTGTGTATATGCCCATGGTGAGACTGAGTCACATTTGAAAACGCATTAATTAGATGTCATTAGCTTATTATAGAAAGTTCTTTTTGCTTTTTTTGCTCTCAAACCAGACAGTGATTTTGTCACAATATTGTGTGAAAAGAGGACACTGACACAAAACAATACAAATTCAATATTGTTTCAAATGTTGAATTAACAGTTGAGTAAACGAAGCAGTGATGGTTTTAAAATGGCATGAATTAGAGTTAAACGAGGTCAGCTGGAGGTCGATTGCTTGAGTGGGTTGTCGAGTGACGTAAGGGGCTGCTGGTTCGAATCCCAGCTCCGACTACCCACAATATACAATACACCCCCCCTGATTTGTAGGGATCTCCCCACCCGATCACATGATCGGAACTCGGGTCTGATCACGTGGTTTTCAGCCCATTTGAGACTTGTGGCAAAATGATGAGTTTTCTCCATTTTCTGAAATTTGGCCGCTCACAACGTGACCAAATAAACCCAAACTAAACATATCTTGTCAATTGGAGCAGTAGTCGTTTAATTTTATGTTAGAGCAGTGCTCCCCAACACTGGTCCTCGACGGCCCGATCCTGAATTTTTTTTCGGTGTCTCCCTCCTCCAACACACCTGATTCAACAACGGTGTGAAAACACATACTGTGGGCCAAAAGATACTTCTAAAATAGCCTAAGTCTGCTTTGCCCCTGCTATAAAGTTGCCTCACCGAACGGCGTAAGAGTGAAGAGAGCGACAGACAGCTGAGCGATTGCAACACGTCTGAACGACGTAATTTGAAATCAAAGTTTAACGCGGTGTTTTTCAATCTTTTTCGAACCAAGGCACATTTCTTTCATTGAAAAAAAATACCACGGCACACCCCAAGCTGAAAATGTGAAAAAAGCTTATTTTAACAATGAAAGTGTTATTTTGTTATTATAAGCGTTTTTTAACATTGAAGACTAACATTTTTATAACACATTGAATAGGACTCAAACATCAATCAAATATTTTATCATCTTTCATATTTTAACTAGTATTTTAAATCGCACAGCCACCTTATGCACCATATATGCAGTTGCATACTGTATATTGCGGGGGGTTAAATATCATGAGCAGCAAAAAGTGTCAAAGGCATATCCTGCACTTGTTACCATGAATAAAATTAACAAGCCACAACTCAATGGTGGTCATAAAATGATAATTCATATAATCAACATTAATATCGCTGTAAAGAAGCCGCCTTTTGTCCCAGAGACGAGGTCACAGTAACCAAGTGGGCGTCTTAGAGCAAGGTCTGCGAAATGCTTCCCTCATTTGTGGTCTTTTGTTGAATGCATTTTGTATTTTAGTGTTCATGCCCAAAGTCTCAATCGAAATAAAATAAGTGGGTGGGGGAAGCACCATTGTGGGATTCCCGGTTCGGGATGGCCACCGCTGTAGACTGGCTTCTGACCAGTATGTTTTTTCTTGAGGCCGATGCCGATTTGGGGCAGAAAAAAAAGACTGGTTGCCAATTAAACACTTTGTAATGTATACATGCAGAACCCCTCTGTGCATTTCAATGAGTATCAATTATACTCTGATTTTTGCTTTTTGCATGCTGACCTGGTCACCGCTCACCGCGAATGTCAGCGGTCAACTCTAAATATACTGGTAAAAAAAAAAAAAAAAAAAAAAAGTGGCGTGGCACAATGCATTTAATTACTCAAGTGAAAAGGACATTAATCCTTGTCAAATGTGCGTTTGCATCATATTCAACACATCTACATTAGATGGCACTATATTTTCTTTTTTCTTTTTTTTGTCTAAACAAACCGTTACTTTAGGTTGTGTGTACAATAATAATAATAATAATACAATAGTGACATTCAGGCCGATTCCTTGCATTGCTCACCTCAGCATTGTTTGAAAAATTTAAAGGGATGCTTCACATATGTATACCATTTGCAGGTGTAAAAATGAATTTTGAAAACGTGACTATTTTTTGATTTACATGAAATAACTTTTAAAACGTTTTTAAAAATAATATAGCTGGCTGCTGTGTTCATTGCACACGTCACTTGACAACCGTAACGTGTGTCAACTTTGGACTCGACTGCACAATGACACACACACACACACACACACACACACACACACACACACACACACACACACACACACACACTCACACACACGCGCACACAGCGATGCCGGATCGATAGTGTTAATCTTGAAAGAGTGTAGCAATATCATTTCCAGCAACGCGATGAAATAAGTCCAGCGAGTGATGTGAAAAATGCGGCGCCGGGTGGTCTTTGGCTGGTACAAAATAGATTTTGGGAAAACTAGTGGGACCAGGAAGGGGAGCAGACATGGTGCTCATTTGCAAGCTACACACGCATAGACCATGGTGGAATTAATAGACTATGTCGTCCTACTTTGTACATTACAATGGACAGAATGCTGTCTCAGCGGCTTAATTTTTATGGCCATAACGATACACAAGCCACCGCCTGCGGGGAGGATCGCAAAGGGTTGAGACTCAGAGGAAGCACAGGATACTTCCTCGCACAGGTCGGCCTGCCTCTTACTCGTTCAAAATACTCAGCATGGCGTTGCTTTTTAATGGGACCTGCGTGGCGTGTCCCCTCTCAAATCGTAAACAACTCCTCTTGGCTCAAATGTTCACTGCACAAGTGCGTGTGCCCGCCTCTCCTTGTGCACCCGGGGGCTCGACAAAACTTGCATAAGTACACATTTTTTAAATGTTGTGGAATACAATGCCGGTGTCCACCTTTTTTGCTCATTCTGGTCAACCCTTTGGAAATGTTTACAATGCAAAACGGCATTGTTTTTCTTTGTGGATATAATTATAGGGGCGTGTTTTTCAGCTTGTGTGCATTTTTCCAGGCTAAACTACCGTTTATGTAAAATTAATTAAGCCTCCCTTAAATGGGACAGTGTGTAAATTTTTTTTTATCGTTCAATGTTCATTCATTTGAAAAACCCTCTATTAATTTCAATAACATGCAAAAAATGTTCACATCAACATGTTTTTTTTTTTTTTTTATCCTTTTTCCTTTTTTTTTTTTTTTTTTTAAATACCTAATCTGTGGTCTAGTAATCGCTAATTACATTACACGGGTTGCGCCTCACCATACAGGAGGCTGACATGTTTCTGCGCCGACTTTCTGCTACGGATACCCGAAGGAGACCCGCTCACAAATTTGCTTGGAGCGATGACGACAGTCCGTGTAGCAAATAAAATGCACTGACTAGGTCACTTGAGGGAACACTAGAAGTCGTTTGTGATGACATTTGCTTGCACCTCTGCTGAAGAATTGGTGCTTGGCTTGCCAAGTATGATCTCTCTGAGGTCCTGTGCTGCACTTACTTCAAAATGCAATTTAGGTTGTTGCATTTTATATTAGTTCACCATGAGATTTAGGGGGGGGGGGAATTATATCTAT